AATGAACAAGTAAACGAATTTAAAGAATCAGAACAGTACACCTTTGGCCCAGCTGATCCAATACCCTTCATGATGAAATGTGTCAGGTAAATCAAATCTTCAAGATGTCGTCAATGATTGACTAAGGTCAGGCTGCAAGTATGTTTGGAAGTTCAGTTTGTATGGACATACCATTGACATGAAACTATCCAACCATTTTGAGGCTCATCCACATGTATATTACACCATTTAGAGACACATCCTTAAATCCGAAATCTTGACACTGTATCCGCACTTTGCACCTGCTAGTTAAAAGAACATTTTATTCTTGATATTCTAACCTAGTAAGTGACCTTTGTTTCTACTGGCAATGATAATATTTGTATCCACACTTAGCACCTGCCATATAAAGCAATGTTGTATTGATGAGATTCTAACCTAGTAAATGACCTTTTTTTGTTGTGGCAATGCCAATTATTTAAAGACAGTATTAAGAAATCGCATTGCCTAAATAACTGGCTATAAGGTGAGACGTTAGTACGTGAAATGACTGAATATACTAACGTAAACAACACTGCCCAGTGTGGTCCAACAAAGACCAACTGCGACCTCTGTAATATAAATTTTTTTGTTTGCTACTGCTGACTGAACGAGCTGCGAATGTGCACTGAACAGCCGGTCAGGCGGCGCAAAGTGTGTTAAGTGTATTGTTACTAGTTCTATAATGTGAACACATGTTACAAATGAAGTTCCATGTATCGATGTTTCAGAGGTCTTGTAAACATTATATCTGAAGATATTTTATATTATTGCTTAGTATCAGGGTATCATGTGTTATTATGCTTCATGTTATAAACATTATGTTATTATGGTTCATGTTATAAACATTGTGTTATTATGGTTCATGTTATAAACATTATGTTATTATGCTTCATGTTATAAACATTATGTTATTATGGTTCATGTTATAAACATTGTGTTATTATGGTTCATGTTATAAACATTATGTTATTATGCTTCATGTTATAAACATTATGTTATTATGGTTCATGTTATAAACATTATGTTATTATGCTTCATGTTATAAACATTATGTTATTATGGTTCATGTTATAAACATTATGTTATTATGCTTCATGTTATAAACATTATGTTATTATGGTTCATGTTATAAAACATTATGTTATTATGCTTCATGTTATAAACATTATGTTATTATGGTTCATGTTATAAACATTATGTTTTATGCTTCATGTTATAAAAACAGTAGCAACAGCACTAGCTCGACCGTCAACATGGCGGATGTTCATCCTGTGAGCCACTTCACAGTGTACTGTGAGTACCAACCTCCACAGTGTACTGTGAGTACCAACCTCCACAGTGTACTGTGAGTACCAACCTCCACAGTGTACTGTGAGTACCAACCTCCACAGAGTACTGTGAGTACCAACCTCCACAGTGTACTGTGAGTACCAACCTTCACAGAGTACTGTGAGTACCAACCTCCACAGTGTACTGTGAGTACCAACCTTCACAGTGTACTGTGAGTACCAACTTTCACAGTGTTCTGTGAGTACCAACCTTCACAGAGTACTGTGAGTACCAACCTCCACAGTGTACTGTGAGTAACCAACCTTCACAGTTGTACTGTGAGTACCAACTTTCACAGTGTACTGTGAGTACCAACCTTCACAGAGTACTGTGAGTACCAACCTCCACAGTGTACTGTGAGTACCAACCTCCACAGTGTACTGTGAGTACCAACCTTCACAGTGTACTGTGAGTACCAACCTTCACAGTGTACTGTGAGTACCAACCTTCACAGTGTACTGTGAGTACCAACTTTCACAGTGTTCTGTGAGTACCAACCTCCACAGTGTACTGTGAGTACCAACCTCCACAGTGTACTGTGAGTACCAACCTTCACAGTGTACTGTGAGTACCAACCTCCACAGTGTACTGTGAGTACCAACCTTCACAGTGTGCTGTGAGTACCAACCTCCACAGTGTACTGTGAGTACCAACCTTCACAGTGTACTGTGAGTACCAACTTTCACAGTGTTCTGTGAGTACCAACCTTCACAGAGTACTGTGAGTACCAACCTCCACAGTGTACTGTGAGTACCAACCTTCACAGTGTACTGTGAGTACCAACTTTCACAGTGTACTGTGAGTACCAACCTTCACAGAGTACTGTGAGTACCAACCTCCACAGTGTACTGTGAGTACCAACCTCCACAGTGTACTGTGAGTACCAACCTTCACAGTGTACTGTGAGTACCAACCTTCACAGTGTACTGTGAGTACCAACCTTCACAGTGTACTGTGAGTACCAACTTTCACAGTGTTCTGTGAGTACCAACCTCCACAGTGTACTGTGAGTACCAACCTCCACAGTGTACTGTGAGTACCAACCTTCACAGTGTACTGTGAGTACCAACCTCCACAGTGTACTGTGAGTACCAACCTTCACAGTGTGCTGTGAGTACCAACCTCCACAGTGTTCTGTGAGTACCAACCTTCACAGTGTACTGTGAGTACCAACCTCCACAGTGTACTGTGAGTACCAACCTTCACAGTGTGCTGTGAGTACCAACCTTCACAGTGTACTGTGAGTACCAACCTTCACAGTGTACTGTGAGTACCAACCTCCACAGTGTACTGTGAGTACAACCTTCACAGTGTGCTGTGAGTACCAACCTTCACAGTGTGCTGTGAGTACCAACCTTCACAGTGTACTGTGAGTACCAACCTCCACAGTGTACTGTGAGTACCAACCTTCACAGTGTACTGTGAGTACCAACTTTCACAGTGCACTGTGAGTACCAACCTTCACAGTGTACTGTGAGTACCAACTTTCACAGTGCACTGTGAGTACCAACCTTCACAGTGTACTGTGAGTACCAACCTTAGACCCTTTATCACAAATTTCTTCAAGGTTGATGCCTTGATTTTACCGAATAGCATTAAACATTGTAATTCAACATTAAGCCCTAATGGAAATAAATGGTATAAAATACCGACACAATGGCAATATAAACACAAATGCAGTATAATGTGATCCTTTATTGACTACGTTTCGCCCACACAGTGGGCTTTTTCAAGTCACAAACAGAACTACCTGGGGTGGAAGGAACGCGAGTATTTATAGTCCGGCTGAGGTCAGGTGAAGAATGCTGCATCTGATGATGTACCGAGTTGGGTTGTAGAGTCTAAAAACTTGGGTAGCTTGGAAAGGAGACTGGACAAGTTTGTGAGCAGACCTTCTACAGTGTTCTTATGTGGGATAGCGATGAAGAAGTTTCTTGGCAAGTGGTTCAGCTATGTTATAGAAGCCACTATTCTGGTTGAAGTTGTCGGATACAGAAATAAGTGATGATTCCAGGATTCTTCGGTATTGGGTGTTGTCTTCTGTGGCGATAAGTCTTGAGTTTCTGTAGTTTATCAAGTGGTTGTGTGAATTACGGTGTTGTACGCATGCATTCCTTGTGTCGTCAGACCTGCTTGCGTATTGGTGTTCTGAAATACGTGTTTGGAGGTCCCTTGATGTTTCGCCCACGTATAACTTGTTGCAGTCATTACAAGGGATTATGTATACCCCTGCAGAGGATTGAGGCTTGTCCTGCCTACTACTGGTGATGTCCTTGATGGTCGTGGTTGTGGAGGTAGATACTTGGAATGATGTTTTGGCAAAGATGTTGGAAACATGTTTGGCAATGGAGTTGGTGGGAAGGACTATGTATCTCTTCTCGGCAGTGTCTTCTCTGGGTGTGTTGAAGATGTTTAATGCTCGTCGTCTGCAGTCTCTGATGAAGTGACGAGGATAGTGGAGTTTGGAAAATACCTGTTCAATTATAGTGCATTCTTCCTCAAGGAACTCGTTGCTGCAGATTCTGAGTGCACGCAGGAAGAAGCCTATAATTACACCACGTTTGGTTTTGGTGTCGTGGTGAGAGTAGAAGTGGAGAAGATCGTTTTGGTTGGTTCGTTTTAAAGTCTATCGAAAACCCACCAACCAAAACGATCTTCTCCACTTCTACTCTCACCACGACACCAAAACCAAACGTGGTGTAATTATAGGCTTCTTCCTGCGTGCACTCAGAATCTGCAGCAACGAGTTCCTTGAGGAAGAATGCACTATAATTGAACAGGTATTTTCCAAACTCCACTATCCTCGTCACTTCATCAGAGACTGCAGACGACGAGCATTAAACATCTTCAACACACCCAGAGAAGACACTGCCGAGAAGAGATACATAGTCCTTCCCACCAACTCCATTGCCAAACATGTTTCCAACATCTTTGCCAAAACATCATTCCAAGTATCTACCTCCACAACCACGACCATCAAGGACATCACCAGTAGTAGGCAGGACAAGCCTCAATCCTCTGCAGGGGTATACATAATCCCTTGTAATGACTGCAACAAGTTATACGTGGGCGAAACATCAAGGGACCTCCAAACACGTATTTCAGAACACCAATACGCAAGCAGGTCTGACGACACAAGGAATGCATGCGTACAACACCGTAATTCACACAACCACTTGATAAACTACAGAAACTCAAGACTTATCGCCACAGAAGACAACACCCAATACCGAAGAATCCTGGAATCATCACTTATTTCTGTATCCGACAACTTCAACCAGAATAGTGGCTTCTATAACATAGCTGAACCACTTGCCAAGAAACTTCTTCATCGCTATCCCACATAAGAACACTGTAGAAGGTCTGCTCACAAACTTGTCCAGTCTCCTTTCCAAGCTACCCAAGTTTTTAGACTCTACAACCCAACTCGGTACATCATCAGATGCAGCATTCTTCACCTGACCTCAGCCGGACTATAAATACTCGCGTTCCTTCCACCCCAGGTAGTTCTGTTTGTGACTTGAAAAAGCCCACTGTGTGGTCGAAACGTAGTCAATAAAGGATCACATTATACTGCATTTGTGTTTATATTGCCATTAAGCCCTAATGGGTTTAATGTTTAATTAAGGTTGAATGTCTTCTGGTCCCTAGGCGCTAAATTCCCCCTATGGGTTCAGCGCTTTCCCATGAATATAATAGAGACAACAATAATAATTAAAATTGATAATATGATTTTAATGGATAGGTATGATTTTGAAGGTCGTAATCATGTCACTCTGTTCCTTCAGTCCTCTAGTGTTGTCAGGTTTAGCTCCTCTAGCTTCTCATAATTCATACCTCTCAGCTCCGGGACTAGTTTCAATGCCAACCTTTGCACTTTTTCCATGCTTTTTACATTCTTTACCTAAAGCAGATTCCATGCTCTTACTGCGTACTTGGGCCTGACGTATGCCGTGTATGCTTCATTATTGATGTTCCTGTAAGCTACCCATAAATTTGCCAGTCTCGAGGTTGCTGCAGCAGTTTATGTGTGCCTCAATCAAAATGCTAGTAACTGTGTTCGCTCCGAGATTCTTTTCTTCCAGTTAGATTTGCAGTATTTGTCCCCCGATCATGTATGCTGTTTCCGTAAGTCTTGGCCCTTCTCAAATTTTTATAACTATCCAATATCCAATTGTCAGACCAATCATGCAGCTTGTCCGGATCCATTTAATCTCTCTTGGTCTACTCCATTTTGTATTCTCCTAATTAGTTTCAGATTGTCTACAGACAGGGACAACTCTAACTCAGTTTCCTCTGAATGTCATTTAAATACATAACAAACAGTGCTGGACCAAGTACTGACCCCTGTGGACCCCCACTCATCACGCTTGCCCATTCCTCTCTAACAGCAACTCATTGCTTCCTTCCCTTTAAGTATATCTTGACCCACTCTGGTGTTCCTTTAAATTCCTTCCTGTCTTATAGCTTTTGTGCCAGTCTCTTGTGGAGTCTGAATCGAGCGTCCTCTTCCCATCCACAAATACACAGTTCATCCATCCCTCTCTCCTGCCTAACTTTCGTTACCTTATCAGAGAGTTCTAGCAGATTTCTGAGACAGAATTTACTAGTTGTTGTTTATGAATCCGCTCCTTTCCAGGTTCTCCTCTACACTTTTCATTATAATCTCCATAATCTTACATTCTTTGCATGTTAGTGGCACAGGCCTATAGTTCAGTGCCATTTGTCTGCCACTTTTTTTTTCTTAGAATATTGGGAGTACATTTGATGTGTACCAGATCTTTGACAGCTGCCCTATTTCAGTTAGTTGGTTGAAGATTGGTGTAAGTGGTTCATACAGTTCCTCTGCTCTCTCTTGCAGAACCCAAGGAGAAATTTTGTCTAGTCCCACAGCCTTCGAAGCATCTAGTTCACCTCTCTTCTTGTTGTCCTTTCTGACTGTGCTTAGTTTTATCATGCTATTATTATCGTCCTCTCTGTATTTTATCCAGTACCCGTTGGTGCACTGCACTCTCTTTGACTCTCTAATAGCGTTTCTAATTCCACTGAGAAAACCTCCCTAAATCTTTTGTTCAGTTCTTCACAGACTTCCTGATCATTCCTAGTTATCTCCCCGCTTTCTGAATTCAGCCGTATTACCTGGTCCTTCACAGCTTTTCTTTCTGATATGACTTTACATCAACTTTGGCTCAGATTTGCCTTTCGATGTTATGTTATTGACAAATTACCGTTCAACCTCTGTTCAAAGATATATTTAATCCTGGGAAATGCTATATGACTATGCATATTTAGTGTTTTTAACGTAATGTTTATATTCATATTTAGTACTGCAGATGTTCATTCATTTGCAATTAAGTTGGAAATGTTCTTCAGTAATTGGCAGAGCTGCATTATAAACTGAGTGAGTTTTGTTGTTTAAAAATATATCGTACACTGTGATTTTTTTTTTCGGAGCTGACAAGTTAACCAGTGGAAAGCCCTTGTTATATGACCAAAAGCTCCGGCTATATGGTCATCATGTGACTGTTACCCGTGCCAAAAAACAATAGTTTTGTTCTGTTTTCTGATGAATAATGGACCACCATAAGCACCTCATATTTTGTAACTAATAAAGTGTAGCGTTGGGCAAAACGTTGCAACAGTAACAAAGGTTTTCCCTCCAACATATTGTATTTTTCTTCCACTAATTAGCTGTTGACTAATGTCCGGTGTCAGGCAGATACTGCTGCTGCTATCACTGACAAAAACACGCATATGCGAGCGCACACACACGCGCACACATACATAAGACTGGTGTGTACTTACGTTTAGCAATTTTGGAGGTCATGACTCTGTTGTAGCGGAGAGGGTGTAGAATTGCCCAGTAGCGGTCCACACTGACTGCCACCAGGCAGAAGATGGAGATGGTACACAGCATAAGCAGCGTGGAGAGCCCCAGCAGACACGCCCACCTGGAACGGGGCAGCCCTATCGCCGCCAGGATGGCGAAGGGGATGCCCAGCACCCCCACCAGGAGGTCGGCCAGAGCCAGCGACACGATGTAGTAGTTAGTGAGACGACGTAATTTCCGATCCACGGCAAACACAGTGATGGTGAGAGCGTTGCCTATGACAGCGATTATGGCCACCAGCACCTCGCTGATGGTGTATGGCAGGTCGAGTTCGATGCCCTCGCCGGAATTAGGCAAAGGTGTCGTCTGGTGTTCTTCAGTTAGGTTCCCTGGGAAGGCGAGGCTACCTGCCTCCAGTCCCATGTAGTTGCTCAGGTTCAACCTAGTTAATCCCATCGTCACCACAATTACACTATACTTCACACCACCACTACACAATTCGTCTACAAACTTTCTTTCATTTACCTCATACTTCTCGTATTATATCACTTCCATTTCCTGCTGCAAAACAATAAAACTGACTGAATGTTATTGACAAAATCGTGTTTGATGTCTTGGGTATTAAACAACGCCTTATATTCTGGGAGCGAGTATGAGTGAGAGAGGCAGGAGTGTGGCGTTAAATATCCTACCCCAGCACCGCTACATGTGCGACTGACTGGCTCTACAACCTGTTCATCCTCCCCACTGCTCCCCTCGCCATGATGCCACACACACGATGACTGCCAACGCCCTCACACTACTCAGATCAAACTAATTTTTTTCCGTGAACTCCTCATCCTTTTCACTGACGGCCCGGCTGATTATTTTCCACCTTGTCGCAGTTCACGTTCAGTGGGAGTCATCGTGTCTACTGTCAAGCTGGCAGTGACGGACAAAATGCCTGGACACTGGCTCCACCTACTTCAGTCCCATGACACCGGAGCAAACGAGGTACAAGCATGCTGTATTATTACTGCGCTGCACCACACCAGAACTTTACCAAGATCAATATCACCCTTTTAAGATTACCTAATACACATCTTTTTAGTTACACATGGAGAAAGGTAGATAGCTGAGGACTATTTACTTCTGTCTAGCTTAATTAAGGACCATCGTGTATTATCTAGGTATGCGAGTTAAAGACAAAGATTATCATACATTTCCTTATTTCAAAAGCCAAGTTCTTTCTAATATACGCGACGTCCACTTTCCTAGGATGAGACCCACAATAGCCGACAGATATCTGTAACCAAGAGTTAAAACACAAGAAAGATATAAGACGACTTTCTCTTCAACACACCTTCAATGGACCCACGTCATGATATAGCATGATAGCTCTCTCATACAGCCTATATTCATCTACTCTACACAGCGGTACTTTATCCCGCTGCCATATCCATTACGTAGATGATAATCAAAAAATTTCAGAGGTACATAATCAGCTGAGGGCTCAGGCCCAGGGCCACCTCAGCGGCTGATTCCCGCCAAGGCAAGGTTACCCAAAGAAAAAAAAACCCACATACACCATCATTCATTCATCAGCTCTTTCCAAAAATGTGTTGAACATCAAAATGGTATACAATACCGACAGGTTGTTAGGTAAGACACATATGCAACAGTTAGACAACTTTATTCCGAAACGTTTCGCCTACACAGTAGGCTTCTTCAGTCGAATACAGAAAGTATTCGACTGAAGAAGCCTACTGTGTAGGCGAAACGTTTCGGAATAAAGTTGTCTAACTGTTGCATATGTGTCTTACCTAACAACAAAAATGTGTTGACATCACAGTTAAGATGACTCTCCAATTACGACATTCCCACCTCTTCTTTAAGATACAAACACTTTTCTTCTGTTATTATTATTATTATTATTATTATTATTATTATTATTATTATATTATTATTATTATTATTATTATTATTAATATTATTATTATTATTTCAACCCTTCGTCCAAAGAAGACGAAGGGTTGGTTCCAAATTCCTTGAATCAAGTCTTTCACCGATGTCAAGGTAACCTCTTGCTCCGTTAAAAAAACCCAACAATTCTGGTTCATTGTAACACACCTCCGGCACCGTCATTGTAACACACCTCCGGCACCGTCATTGTAACACACCTCCGGCACCGTCATTGTAACACACCTCCGGCACCGTCATTGTAACACACCTCCGGCACCGTCATTGTAACACACCTCCGGCACCGTCATTGTAACACACCTCCGGCACCGTCATTGTAACACACCCCCGGCACCGTCATGTAACACACCCCCGGCACCGTCATGTAACACACCCCCGGCACCGTCATTGCAACACCCCCTCCGGCACTGTCATTGTAACACCCCCCCGGCACCGTCATTGTAACACACCCCCGGCACCGTCATTGTAACACCCCCCCGCACCGTCATTGTAACACACACCCCCGCACCATCATTGTAACACACCCCCGGCACCGTCATTGTAACACACCCCCGGCACCGTCATTGTAACACACCCCCGGCACCGTCATTGTAACACCACCCCCGGCACCGTCATTGTAACACACCCCCGGCACCGTCATTGTAACACACCCCCGGCACCGTCATTGTAACACACCTCCGGCACCGTCATTGTAACACACCCCCGGCACCGTCATTGTAACACACCCACGGCACCGTCATTGTAACACACCCCCGGCACCGTCATTGCAACACCCCCCCGGCACTGTCATTGTAACACACACCCCCGGCACCGTCATTGTAACACACCCCTGCACCGTCATTGCAACACACCCCCGGCACCGTCATTGTAACACACCCCCGGCACCGTCATTGTAACACACCCCCGGCAACCGCCATTGTAACACACCCCCGGTACCGTCATTGTAACACACCCCCGGCACCGTCATTGTAACACCCCCCGGCACCGTCATTGTAACACACCTCCGACACCGTCATTGTAACACACCCCCGGCACCGTCATTGTAACACACCCCCGGCACCGTCATTGTAACACACCTCCGGCACCGTCATTGTAACACACCCCCGGCACCGTCATTGTAACACATCCCCGGCACCATCATTGTAACACACCCCCTGCACCGTCATTGTAACACACCCCCGGCACCGTCATTGTAACACACCCCCGGCACCGTCATTGTAACACCCCCCCCCCGGCACCGTCATTGTAAACACACCCCGGCACCGTCATTGTAACACACCCCCGGCACCGTCATTGTAACACATCCCCGACACCGTCATTGTAACACACCCCCAGCACCGTCATTGTAACACACCCCCGGCACCGTCATTTTAACAGCCCCCCGGCACCGTCATTGTAACACCCCCCGGCACCGCCATTGTAACACACCCCCGGCACCGTCATTGTAACACACCCCCGGCACCGTCATTGTAACACACCCCCGGCACCGTCATTGTAACACACCCCCGGCAACGTCATTGTAACACACCCCCGGCACCGTCATTGTAACACTCCCCCCGGCACCGTCATTGTAACACACCCCCGGCACCGTCATTGTAACACTCCCCCGGCACCGTCATTGTAACACTCCCCCGGCACCGTCATTGTAACACTCCCCCGGCACCGTCATTGTAACACACCCCCGGCACCGTCATTGTAACACACCCCCGGCACCGTCATTGTAACACACCCCCGGCACCGTCATTGTAACACACCCCCGGCACCGTCATTGTAAACACTCCCCCGGCACCGTCATTGTAACACACCCCCGGCACCGTCATTGTAACACACCCCTGGCACCGTCATTGTAACACTCCCCCGGCACCGTCATTGTAACACTCCCCCGGCACCGTCATTAAGGACTCATTACAAAGCTTGTCACACACTGAAGTGTTTACCTTCCGGGTCGCGTGTACCTCTTTTACATTCACCCTCGTTAATAACTCCTCAGTGTATTAACAGCGATTCAGATCAGTGGCATAATTTTTTATCTCGGTATTGAAATAATAACGACTGTAAATATCTCAATGAGCGGACGTGATTTGAAGTCACATGGGTCCGTTTCGTTCGTTATTTGTCTTTCCTCGCAAGCTTTCATGTCTTCGTCGCATTTGTTAGTAGTGTTTGTGTTTTAACTTAATAAAATTAAAAATGTTAAGGCTGATGAATCAAACGTATGTGCTTGTCTAGTGAATAATAAAAAATAATAATAACATTAATAATAATAATAATAATAATAATAATAATAATAATAATAATAATAATAATAATAATAATAATAATAATAATAATAATAATAATAATAATAATATGGAAAGGAAGGAAAAGAGTGAAACTGGAGGATGTGGATGGAGAAGCTTCTAACTCCTCCCTCTAACACACGTCCCCATGAAGCTCACAGAAAAAAGAAATGAAAAGCACTGCAGTAATCCTAGTGGCCTGTGCCAGGTAAGAAAGAGGAAACAAGACAGGAGAAAACTGAGAGTTAAGGTGTAGGAAACACAGAAGACTACTACTAATACTACTGCAACTAATCAAACTGTCCCATGCTAAGAGTACATTTCACTTTTTCAGCGTATGTCACACACCCATATAGGCATGCCCTCCCGACCAGTGATCCAGGTGTTAAGATTATTACTAGTAGGGGCCCCCTCGTTATACTAGTACCTTGGTTCAACCAGCCAATGACAAGAAAGCCCGTCAAAGTTGTGATGCGATGTAGTACACTCGTGAATCATCATTAGCAGTGTTACCTCCAAGTCTGGTTGCAATGGTACTTATCGTGTCCCTTACTTGCATTTGCCTTACTGTACAATATTCTTTGTATATATTATATATACACTGCTTGCTGTTTGGTGAAGGAAGTATAAGTACTTAATCTGCTGCCTTTTTGCTAGTTTCTTCCTTGATTATCATGATACAGCCAGGGGTGCTGGCCACTAGACTACACCTGTGTTCGTTATACAAACCCATCGTAACAGAATCAAAACCAAATCAAATAAAGCCAAATCATACCATACCAAGGTAAACCTAACCTAACAAAGAATTACAAAAAAAAAAAAATCTAACTCTTAACATTGTTAATGTTGTGGGCGTGAATACATAGAGTAATTCTGAGTTGTGATTCTGGCGGCATGTTCAGGTAGAACTCAGTAACCTGGACTAGGGTGGTCAGAAATGAGCACAATATTCAATATTTCATTTTACTCTACTTTATATCAATTTAGGATGATCATTTTGATCTCATTTGAAAGATAACAAAGTGCTTTAAAAACGTGTTTTGCAGATTTTTTTCAGTATATACACTTGTATACCAGTGACTGGGATGTCAACACTGTTCTGCATACTATAACATCAGACACATCAAACAATAAAAACAGTGATGAAAACTGATTCCTCGTGCCTCAAAACATATGAAACGAAGAATCATTCATGCCTTTATCTTATCATAAGAGTACGGAGCTTCAAGTATTGCCTGGAGACCGTCTAAGGAATTTTTTTTCATCCTCTGCAGGACAGATTATTCACGACCCAGGGAACCTAGACAAACCTTAACAGCCGTCTGATTCGCAATTCAGGTTTACTCATTACATTTACTCTCGCTGCTGAGGAAGAATATGATGGGAACTTCTCCCGTAGTTCGTGTCATAATGTGAGTAAAAGCGTAGCAGGTGACACTTGTTTGTGGAGTTTTTACATGCTTTGAAGGTCATCTTATTTCCACCTGCGCCTAGG